TTGCACTTGTGTTCTGCAAATAGCTTTTGACATCTGGGATGCCAACACTCTGGACAATTTCAATTGGCCGCTAACTTGACCAAATTGGAACACCGGTCACTCATCTAAAGAAGTTATCTGAAGTTATCTCTCTCCCTGACATCAGCAGTTGCGGCTCCAGGATAATAGAGGGGGTGGGGGATGTCTTTAAGAGATTGCTGGTAGGTACATGTTTATTTTTTTACAAGTTTTTAAATTGGTGAAAGGTACATATATATATTTTTTCAATAGTTTTTAAATTTTGCGAAGTATGACTTTATTCAACTTCAGGGACATCAGTGTAGTTTGTGGCATGGAGGTGGCCCTTCTCTGACGGGGTGGAGAGGGGAAGTTGGTTTAGGGGCAGGGGCACATATATTCAGAAGTGTTAATTCAAATTCAAATTCAAAATTATTGATTGAAGTCCAAACATGTAGGCATTTTGAGGGCGTAGGATCATGATCCTTTACATTGCCTAATAAAGTTTTGAGAAGATATTCCAACTTTAGGGGCACCAGTGTTGTTTGCGGCATTGAGCTACCCATCAATGTTTAGGGCATGAGAGAAATCATGTAATCTTCTTTCAAGATACCGTTTGTCCATTTGTCTCTCAGTTCCTTCTGCACACTAAGAAAAAATGGTGCAAGTATGCACCTTTAGGGGTGCAAACCGATGCAACAATAGCAGCACCTTTAGGGGTTAAATCCTGCACCCTTTTTAAAGGTGCAATCCTGCACCCTTTAAAAGGGTGCCAGATTGAACCTTTTAGGGGAAATAGTACCCTTTATGGTTCATTCCTGCACCTTTGGGTGCAAACCGATGCAACACTAGCATCACCTTTATGGGATCAATCCTGCACCCTTAAAGAAGTGCCAGGTTGCACCTTTTAGGAGACATGTTAGTACCCTTAATGGTTCAATCCTGCTCCATTAGGGGTGCAAACCGATGCAATAGCAGCACCTTTAGGGGTTCAATCCTGTACCCTTTAAAAGGTACAATCCTGCACCCATCATCGATGAATAATGGTAATGTTTTCTCGTACACAAATGCATATTAAACATGCATGATGTTTCTTGGTTAGTAAATCATATAATCAATATATATCTATTGCTAAAACGTGAATGTAATTGTAACATGATCAAACAAAATAATATGTTGATTAATGATCGCCAAGGAAAATAGAAATCACAACATTGATGTGCATTGTCATAATTTGCTTAAGAAATCATGATAAATATATTTTTATGTGAACTCGTATACAGTAATCATGAATATGCATGCGATATGCAAACTTTTATTTTGCACCCTTTTTTGGTCGATAGGGTTCATTTTTGTGGGAAGGGTGCAAAATCTTATATTGCACCCCTTTTTGAACCCCTTTTCCTTCAATAGGGTTCATTTTTATGTAAAGGGTGCAAACTCTTATTTTGCACTCCTTTTTGCACCCTTTTTTCTAAGAGTGTGAATCTATTGTTGTCCCTCTTGTTCGCCATGAGCGGAGGGGGGGGGGGGGGGTGCCCATGTGACCCCAGTGGATACGCCACTGGTGTGGATTATCGTTGCCCCTCTGCGAATCAAGCCAAATACTAGATAGTCGTTTATCGTAAAATTTCTGCCATAACGAAAGAAAAAGACGTGATAAGGTAACGGACCAGATAATGGCGTTCGCTTTCAAATTCTCCAAGATTTGTTTGATGCCTTTGTAAAGAGGGCATTTAAAGGTAAAGTCAGTTTTGGAAATGCCCCCCCCCCCCCCTCTCAAAAATGAAATGGAAGCTCTTATTACCAATCATGTAAAAGAATATGTTTTGACTAATACGTGATGATACAAATTTTGCCGAGAAACCGCCTACTAATTGATATATTTGGTAAATTATTATATGTCCCATGTACATCTTTCTGTGTACAGTGCTTGTAACTTTACCAAGACTGGGTCAAATTTCTTATCAATTTGAAGATTCCAGAACCTTGCAGTACACACCAATGCTTATATGCTAGAAGATCAAACTTTTCTGATCGATTCCACAACGTTTCTTTCACAATGCAATCGCATGATCAGAACTGGTCTATACTTAAATAATCGTCGAAAATCTTGTCCGACATAGCACAAACAATTCGTGCTCAACCGCTTCCGAATGTGATGATATCAACCTATCACCAGCATCAAATAAAATGGCAATAAACAGAGTAAAAAAAAATCAAACACATAAAAAGTCACCCCCCCCCCCCCCCCCATCTGAAAGTCATGTGGAACATATTTCCTCTACGCGATATGTTGTTTAAACGTCAAACGAATATGTCATCAATTGAGCGACTAGTCCAACTCCATTCGGTTTTCTATGCATGTTCAACCTATCATGTAACTGCTTCCCTGTGTGGATCCCCAGTTTGACACGGATCCTTCGAACATTCTAGTCAAGGTATCAACCTGGATTTAAACTCGGAAATCTTGGGATCTAGGTGATTGGAGCAGATGGAACATCTGGATACAACACATGTGCCAGACCCATATCAAAATGTCGGAGTATCAGTTCTTCAAATGTCAAGTGGAAATTGGTTTGATGGTTTGTATTATCTGACTGATAAGAAAGCATGCGTATGCTTGTAAGTAAGCAACTAGGGGACCGACGGCTTTAAGTCATCTCCAGGGGCTTGATTATGAGGATTTATACATTAGCAAAGGGCTTTAGCGCTTTGACTTGGTTTCGAAACCGGGATCTCCGGGTTATGAGACCACTGCTCTACTATTAAAGGTAAAGACCAGTATCGGAAACGCCCCAATTTCAAAACATGAAATGGAAGCTCTCATTACCAATCATGTGAAAGAATATATTTTGACTAATACTTGATGATAAAAAATTTGCCGGGAAACCGCCTACTAATTCATATATTTGGTAAATTTGTTTCTCTCATGGTCTGTAAGAGGTATAAGGTAGTCCCATATACATCTTTCTGTGTATAGTGCTTGTAACTTTACGAAGAATGGGCCAAATTTCTTATCATTTTGATGATTCCAGAACCTTGCAGATGCTAGATGCTAGATGATCAACCTTTTCTGATCGATTCAACAACGTTTCTTTCACAATGCAATCGCATGATCATAACTGGTCTTTACCTTTAAGCCACCGCGTCTCTATATTGCAATATGTCAATTTAAAGAATACATTTTTGGCGATCAAAATATGAATGAAAATATTATGCAAGAGTGTACTGCTAAAAGGAGAAATAGACCTAAAAGAAAGATGGGGTTTAGAATAGGCCTACTCATAACATGCATAATAGACCATCCGAGCAAAAACCCTGCCCCCCCCCAAAAAAAAAAAGCAATATAGTGACAAGATTCTTAGCTTATTAATTTACTGAACATTTACCTAAAAGCTCTTGCATATTTATTGAGCATTATGTCATAACAATTTAAAATCTTCACATCCGTCAATCGGATATATTGCCACTTTTCATCGGCAGGGGGGGGGGGGGGGTTGCTCCCGGTAAAGCATAAACTTTTATCAACGATAATAAGGAAGGGTATTTTCGGGAAGAGTATCTCCATGCAGTGAAAAGCAACGAAGAAAAATCAATAGTGTCTGCAAACCATTTCGCAACAGAAGTATGCTAATACTTTTGTGAAACTTCGCCACACACTCGAAGCAATAATTTATCTCAAGGTTTCTGGTTTTACAGCCAATTTCCAGCATTGTAAAAACGTCGCATTCCATTTGGTATGTCGTCGTGCCAATGATTGTGTCACAGAAACTCGTTACTTATCCTAATTCGCACAAAGTGACGGCAGGTCATCGGAGGTCACGTACACGAGGTCAAGGGTCAAGTTCCTATCACCTTCGGTGTGTGTGGCAGAGCATCATTCAAAACTCACTGAAGGCTATTATAAAGTACGAAAGGAATTTTGATCTACGATTAGACGGATAGAAAGTAAAAACCAGGGTGGTTTTCGAAGAAATAATTACCTGTTTAAAAGTAATAGAATATGCCTATTTGATATAGAGTGTCATGTCGAAATGAGGAATTAAAAAGAGTTTTCATATATGAGTTCGTTTTAAGTGTAAGCGTTATATCAATCTTAAACTTGCTCTACTGGTATTCTAGATGGTTGCTTGTGCTCTCTCTAATCACCGTATTAACAACATTTATTAAAAAAACAATCAATGGTTTCTGTCTGTTAAATTCAATTAATTTTATTTTCACGAAGATTTAAGGGATGTACACTAAACTTGACAAGAATCAAGGTAGGCCTATTAATTTAACAATAATATTGGTAAAAATAAAAATAATAATAATAAAAATAGTACAAAGTAATAATAATAATAATGAAAAAAATAATACTTATAACACTCCTAATAATAATTATAATAATAGGTAAAATTGTAATACGGGCAATTTTAAATCTTTAAAGGTACTATGTCCCTTTTGCAGCCAACCTCAAATTATGTACAACTTTGCAGGAATTATGAATATGTCATGTATGTCCTATCTGTGAAATTTAAACGTTAGCAGTGTCCTCATATTCAAATTATGCAAGGAAACCCGTTTACTTGCTAGACTTCACTGTCAGACACTATTGAGTGACTGACTGGCTTTTTTTCTTCTTTGGTAATAACATACATGAAAAGAGTTGTAAAGGGTATATGAGCATTTGTCTACATCAATAACCCACTTCTTGTGATGGCCAAGATTAAACTGATTGAATCTTTGTGCAGCATAAAACGTATGACCATTCGGTACAATTGTCTGAAAATCAAGACTATTAATTTTGGGCTCTATAGCCCTAAAGTCGATTTGACAACTAATAGTCGTTATTTTCCCACTTGAAGACATTTTCAAGCCCCACCTTTTTTAGGGAAGTTCTGAATTAGTATTATCTTTCAAATGCAGTTGGAATTTAACTTTTTCATTTTTTTGGCCTGCAAATGGGACATAGTACCTTTAAAATGATTCTAATCATTTTAAAGGGTTTTTTTACGTACCTCACAGTCCCCTCTGTTTCTATGAACATCAGCGAAGACACCCATACAACGAGCTTGGGCGAAGTGATCGTGCTGCTGAAGAGAGAGCTTCATCGCCTCCTGTGAGAGGGAAAGTTCGAAAAGGGGAAAAGGAATGAACATTATGAATAATGATGACAACAAAAAAAGTAATTATAATAATAATAATAATGGTGGTGTTGATGATGATGATTATAATAAAAGGCCTAATAACAATAACAATACTAGTAATGGTAATAATAAAAGTAAATAAGGATAATAATAATGCAATAATAATGACTGTTATTACCATGATTAAACAATAATAAATATTAATAATATAATGATAATAATAATTTTATGCTTCAAACAAATAAAATAATAAGCAGATGAGGAGCAGGAAAAGATTATAGACAAAGCACAACATTTCAGAGAGATGGAGAGGGAATAATAATTTAAAATATTTGGACCTACAATGAAAAGTTTGTTCACGTATTACATCATCGTCATCATCAAAATAATTGTCCGATTCCGCCGGAAGCAGATACATGATATATGCATAAATATAAATACACCATTTTAATCACTCCATAAAGACGGATGTTTATTTTCTCTTTCGGGCTTCTGTCTATTTATAACTTCTATTTCACTTTCATATGCAAGGCACTTGACGACCGACTTTTATCATGGTAGCAAAACAATTTTTATGGAGCGTTTCTGCGTCATAAATCTTCATACATTTAATTTCCTGAAGCTTTCCATAGACGATAAATTACAACGACATCTATTTTCATCACACTCTACATCCACTTATGTTTTAAGAGATAATCCACTGAAGTGGTAGGTCTAGGATTATTTGGATGGGGGGGGGGGGGTATGTGTCTAAATATTCTTTTTGTTTATGTTCTGAAAAGCAAGCAAGGAAGGTAAGGAACAAAAAACATTTTAAGATTCCTCATTTGGGTAGAAAAATGTTGAAGGGAGGGGTAGGGGAAAACTGAGGGGGGGGGGGGAATAAACTGGCAAAATGGGCTTAACCGGTGGCGTTTCTACCAATGCCCCCGTCCTGATCTACCAATGTTGTCGATTTTTAAAGTAATAGAGATGTTAGCTGAGCTGAGGGGGCCCAAGTCTATGGCTGTAGGTGATCAAAAATCGAGTAAATATGTCGAGCGCCATCTACAGGCTTACCTAGGAAAGTGTGGCACTTCAGGGTGACTATTTTGACAGGTGTGGGGATGACATTGCGATTCATGCTGAAAATGAGATGAAAATACCGGACTTTTTTTCTCCCAAACTCGCATCATCGAGACATAACAATTCACACATGGTATTGCAATCATAATTATCGTTTTCACTATTATTTTGACCTTCACAACAGCACCAAACCACCACCAATACGCTCTTCATAATTGTCATTATCATAGCCTGTCACCATCAACACCACCTTCGTCATTATTACCTCATCATCGTACTTTTCGTCGTCAAATATGTCAAAAAATGGAAATCTCAACGTCTATTTTACCAACTGCAATAGCTTTTGTCTTATTCTACTATACGTTACGAGAACAAAATTAGACCTTTAGCCTACTATGTGTATAGTCAGTGCCTCAAGCCTCGTTACTCGCCTCATTTTGTTAATACAGCTACGCCACTAATATTTCAGCCAATTAATGAACATCATTTGAACCTGTAACTACATTCCTCATAGACTCCCCACAACCACTCAACAACAAACAAAATTATAAAAATGAAATAAAATACAACCTGAAACTTTCGGCAAGGTAGTTTTTGCGGCATAACATTTTTGCGAATTTGAATTTCACTCCCGAAAATTGCGAAAGTTTTGTATAGGTGAAAGTTTTTATTTGATTCTACTGTAATATTTCTCCACGCATTCCATATCTATTTTTTCTATCACAAATGACGTCCTCAAAACAAAAACCCACGCATTAGTCTAGCCTCTACGAGACATTCTCCATGGGCTGTGAAACGCATGATGGGATTTGTGACGTGTCACTGAATGTCAATGACCTTGTCTCTGCCATCATGTACGGTAGCATGGAATCATCTACCGTCTACTTCTCTTCCCGTTTTTATATAGTTTGATATACAGGTGTAACGAGGGTATATAACCCCCTGTATAGCCAAAAAGCAGGCAGTGGAGTTGGGGGGGGGGGGAGGGGGGAAGAAAAAGCATACAAACTGTAAAAGGGAGTTTGAAAGAGAAAGAGAGAAAAAGGGTAAGACATTAAAAAAACAAAAAGAGAGTGGGAAAGAGAAAGAGAGGGAGGGGGACAGGGGAAGAGAGAGAGAGAGAGCGAAAGAAGGGGATAGGAAGGATATTGGTATGTGTAAAGGGGGGGGGGGTATAAGAGTTAATAGGCATTTGTACAGATGTTGTCTAAATCTAAAAACATGACTCTGGATCGAACCCTAAGTCGCTACAGGACTTCATACATTGGCAAACGAGAAACCTATATGGACCACAGAGAAAGAGAGAGAGAGAGAGACAGACAGACGGGGGGGGGGGGAGGGGTTGAACTTGAAGGTACCGGAGTTTCTTCGAGGGGGTGCTTTGGGCGTGACGGGCCGCCTTAATAAAGCCACCAAAGAGCACAAAAGAAGCCAATTACGTCGTGAATACCACCGAACGCGCGGGAGCTTGACCCCCATAGCCAAACATCTTGTTAAAGTTCTTGTGAAAACAGCTCTGCTTTGTCAGCAATGCCAAAGTTTTCTCCCCTGTTCTCATTTTTTGTTGATCCACCTAAAAAATCGCTCCTAAACATGTTATTCGTGCACCTTCTTTGTAACACAAAAGAGGTCAGATTTTTCATTTCCCCGCTCACAAAACGAGTATACAAATTTCAAATATATCCTTTGCATGGTATTCTAAATTGTATTGCACAATGTGCTTCATCATATTTAGTTATTGTTTTTCTCCAAACCTAGAAGAATGAATAAATTCTTGAATCGAAATTGTAGTAAATTTATTAAGCATTCAAAATCTGTGGATTTTAAGAGTTCGAACCGAGCCAGAAAACCTGGGCCCTCTTTCATACAAACTTTTGTTTTTAGTTAATAACAAGTGCTAAATTTGCTTGCATGTACGTTTTTATTTTGTTGTATTGTATTTTTCTTGTGTGATTTGGAAAATAAATACCAAACCATACCATTAGCTTACAATATTTATTATAACTGTTATTGATAGCAAGTTTCATGAGAAAGGGCCTAAGAACCCTAATAATCGTTATCATGCAATAAGTAGACCGTTGTATGCTTTGGTATTTTCAATCCAATGGGCAATATCTCGATACGCCACTGCTTAACGTCTTTCTGTATTAACAGATTAAATCAAAGAGATCCTGACGAAAGGTTTCTAGACTAGAGGCTATCAGAAACCGCCTCATGACTTTAACTTTTGTTATTAATCTTGTTATCAAATCTGACACCTATAAAACATATTGCGGTTGCGGTAATTTGTTAACGATTGTTAGACGAACAAACGTCGGTGAGATTTAAGATGGTCGTAAAAATCATGAATCCTATCGAACCCTCATCTTCGATTTCGTTGATACTCGTCAAGATGTCCCGATTGAATACAGTTCAGCTGTTCAGGGGTCGGGGGTCATAAGGTCATGACCCCAGACTTCAATAGCCGCTGCCCGAGGGATACCCGTGGGAAGGAGTCTCACCATAGAGTAAACCTGAGATTAATCTATGAATAAGATGATTTTGAAATCACATATATCAAATCTTAGACTGGAAGATAATCGTTTAGAGTTTACTTGTTTTGCATAAATGTATCTGTTCTTGTGACAAAAGATGACAGACGCGGTCCCTTGTTTGGTAGATAATTGGAACAAAAGTGGGTCAAGATTTAAATCATTTCAAAATCGTTTTAAACTATGTCACTTTTCCAGAAATTTCGGTGTAGTTTTTGTGTCTTTCTCTTTAAATCATTTCAAGTTCATTGTAAGACCAGACACATGTTAAGACAGGGGCGGGAACTATTTGATTATTGATTTATTTCCGGAGTTTCGGTGTAATTGACGTCCGCTGTCATGTCTTGCTTTTAGTCCGTCTATCCAGGAAGCTTAGACTTTTCGTCTGTAAAACTGTAGCCTTGTAGGTCCTATATACTGCATGCCATGACCGTTGGTATTACTTGCCCGTTACTAATATTTCTTTAGTTACCGATCTGATGATAAAGAGTTGGATAGGGTAATGACGACGCTGATGTTGGTAGTGGTGATGATGATGGTGGTGGTGTTGGTAGTGATGGTTGTGACTGTTGAGGTGATATTGATTGTGGTGATGTTGAGGGCCGGGGTAGTGACGACGCTGATGTTGGTGGTAGTGATGATGATGATGGTGGTGGTGGTGGTGATGGTGGTGGTGGTGTAGATTGTGGCGGCGATAGTGATTGTGGTGAAGGTGATTTTGAAAGCGGTGTTGATAAAGATGTTGGTGATAATGGTTGTAGTTTTGATGATGGTGGTGGTGATGATTATGAAGGCGGTGTTGATAATGATGTTGGTAATAATGGTCGTAGTTTTGATGTTGGAGATGGTGGTGTTGGCGGTGGAAAAGGGCGTGGTTAAATTGTTGTGGTGATGATGGTAATGGAAGCACCGATGGGGTGTGAAGTCGTGCCTGTTGTGTTGATGGTGATGGTGGAGGTGGTGGTGGTGGTGGTACATAGTGGCGGTGGTAATTTGTGGTATCGGTGGCAAAGCGAGGTGCTGGGCATTAAATAAGGGGTTATTGCCCCCTTGTCCTACCAAACTCCACCATCCATGAGGTTTCCTCGACAGGTAAATCGCGCTGTGTCATTCCAATTCAAATAATGCAAACAAACCCTTCGGCCCGAGCATACCTCGGTCTTGTAAGCCAACAATGTTTGGACATAATTCGTATTTTTCTAGGGATTTTGCCCAAATATTTTCCTGACACGCCAACATCTGCTAGGTGAGGAAAGATTTTTCCTGGCACCCTTCCGATCAAATTAAGAAAACAAAATTGAGCATTCACTGCAGTGTGTGAAAGGAAATGAGAAAATATCAGAATATAAAGAAAAAGAGAAAATAAAGAGAG